CAGGGCCAGGGCTTAGGGGTTTAGGGGTTTAGGGCTTAGGGTGTAGGGTTTAGAGTTTAGGGTGTAGGGCTTAGGGTGTAGGGTTTAGGGTTTAGGGTTTAGGGTTTAGGGTGTAGGGTGTAGGGTTAAGGTTTCCGACGAGCTCATGAAAAAAAGGAAAACAGATCGCACCAGGTCTATTTGGAAGCCGCTTGTTTGGTGCTTATGAGAAGGAGCGAACAATCAGCTTCCAGATGAATCCGGTTTTGCTCATACACACCCCCTCCCAGCAAGGCCTCAACCCTAAACCCCAAATCCTAACCCCAACCACCCATGAAGCTTAACGTCAAGGCCGTGGAGCAAATGAAGGGCTTGCTCCCACCGCGCATCCTTCTCGCACGCGCTGATGATGGAGCCTGCCAAGGCCCCTATAAAGGAACCCTGAAAAAGAGAGAGCCCTTAAGAGGAGCCCTTAAACGGACCCCTAAAAAGGAACCCTTAAAGGAGCCCTGAAAAGGAGCCGCCCTTAAAACGAACCCCACAAGGGTCCCTTTGCGGGATTACTCTAAAGGGTTCCTACAGGAGCCCCTTTAAGGACTCCTTCGAAGGGCTCCATCAAGGGTTCCATCAGGGGTTCCTTATTCGATTTAAGGGTTCTGTTCAGGGGTTTCCGCTTGAAGGGGTTGTTCCGAACGGATCCTGTAAGGGTTTAGGGTTTATGGTTTAGGGCTTAGGGTCTGTATAAGGGTCTTTGGTGATCCTGGCTTGGGGTTTAGGGCTGAGTGATTTCTGGCCTTGGGGGGATAAGGCTTTGGGGTGTAAGGGTGTGGGGCTTACAGTGGAGTTTGAGAGTTCAGGGTTGAGGGGTTTTGGGTACGGGGAATCCCAAGGACAGGATCCCGAACATTGCTTCAAACCCTACAGTAGAACCCTCAACCCTCAAAGCCTGAACCTTAAAACTTTAAAAAATCCTAAAGCCCTAAAAGCCTCAAGATTGGCCAAGGAGCCATAGGTGACCACAGTGGGAGACAGCTGCGCGCGTGGCATCTCGGAGAACCTCGGCACACTACAAACTAGCTTGGCAGCTTTTAGTAGGGTTTTGGGGACGGTTACACGTTTAGGGTTTAGGGTTTAGGGAGCTTGTGCTATAAATAAAGATACTAGGGAGGCCTAAGGAATCATGTAGGTCATTCTTTTGGCTTCTGCATTAAACCCGAAACCCTGAACCCTAAACCCTGGACCCTAAACCCTAAACCAACCTAGAGCCCGGAACCCTTAACCCGGAACCCTAAACCCTGAACCCTAAACACTGAACCCTAAACCCTGAACCCTAAACCCTGAACCCTAAACCCGGAACCCTAAACCAGGCTCAGCGTCCCCGAATCCACCAGTATTCTGCGGTCTTTGGGGGACCAGAGTTCAGGGTTTCGGGGGCCCAGAGTTTAGGGCTCAAGGGGTGTAGGGTTCAAGAGCTTTGTGGGTTTCAGGTTGAGGGTTTAGGGTTCAAGAGCTTTGTGGATTAGGGTTCAAGAGCTTTGGGTTCCAGGTTGAGGGTTTAGGGTTCAAGAGCTTTGGGTTTCAGGTTGAGGGTTTAAGGTTCAGGAGTTTTGGGTTTAGGGTTCAGTGGGGTTGGGGGTGTGTGTTTTCGGTAGGGCTCCTCAGTGAGGGCTATGGACTTCAGGGAGTTTCGAGCAGAGGCTGCAAACCCGCAGTTCGATGCTGGCATGCTACACTGCTACCGGGGCCTGCAGGAGAAAGATGAACCAGAACAAAGGCTTTGGGGTAAAGGGTAAAGTGTTGTATTGTGAGTAGAGCAGAGTAGGGTCGAGTCTATTCTAGCATAGTAGAGCAGAGCAGAGCAGAGTGTTCGTATCGTAGAGGATGGTATAGTACTTCTAGGACCTCTATAGTAGACGACGAATATGTAGGGACTGGAGGGGTGCATTCTGAATCGTGCCCCCACTTCTCTAAAGAAAAAACCATATCCTCCAGCCCCAATCTCCGAAAGATGAATCAGAGCGCAGGCTGAAGGAACGACTTCGGTTTAGCAGAACCTGGACTTTGAAGTCACCATGGAGCAAAAAAAATTGCATATATGGCTGTTCCATAATGGCTCCTTTGAGGAGCAGGTCCAAACAAAAGCATTCAAGTATAGCATTCCAGAACCCAGAAACCCCAAGCCATCGGCCTTGCAGCCGAGGAGCAACTCGAGAGCAAGCTGGGTCTGCTCGGCCCGGCCGCAGGCACTGATGGTAGAGTTGAAGCTGATGGCCGTGGGCTCCACCTCTCGGGGGCTTTCGCACTTTCAAGGATCCTTCCGGTCAAAGGCCCAGAAACACGAGAAAAACTCGTAGATTCTTGCAAACCACACAGCCTTTCTTGGCCTCATGTTTAGATAAGTTTGTGCTACGGTTTCAAAGGAGCTTGGGCTTCGAGTGAACAAACCGCAGTGAACCAAGAAACCCGTAGAGTCGTGGAAGCATATGGGCATGTACCCTTACCTGGGTCTTGCCCAATGGGAAACCCACAAGCCAATGCCTCCCCTACTATAGGGGCCTTACTCATAAGAGTAGGCTTTCTTTTGGAGGGGGGTGGCATATTACAGACAGCAATGATAGGGAAGGAACCTTAAGGAAGAACACAGGTAGTTAGGGTTTAGGGTTTAGGGTTTAGGGTTTAGGGTTTAGGGTTTAGGGTTTAGGGTTTTGGTTAGTTCTGGGCTTCTGTATTAAACACTGAGCCCCAAAGCCAACCGAAGCCCCGCCTTCCTCTGCCGCATCGACCCGAAGAGCTGAAGTGCCAGCATCCAACGCTGAGCACGATCACAGGCGCTGATGGTGGAGTTGTAGCTCACCTGTGGTTCAGTTGAGGGTTCAGGGTTTAGGGTTCAGGGTTCATAACAGTTCAGGGGGGTTAGGGATTCGGGCTTAGGGTTTAAAGGGTGATTTACAGTATTCCTGGGTATTTGCATCTTATACTCTTGCGAGAACCTCCCACTTCTGCTTTCAATGGCGAGCTGCCTCGCAGCGACGGATTTCAAGCGTTCCTCGTTTCGCTCTCAAGGCTACACCACCCACAACAAAACCCTAAACCCTAAACCCTACCCACGACACCGGACCGTGGAAACGCTAGGATCCCGATCGTAAGAACACCTGCAGAAAGACGAAAAATGTTAGGAAAAGACGTTTCCCCGATATGTTTAGGGGAAAACATGCTTTTCCTCAAGATGTTCAGTGCTACTCACAAGCGTATGTGGGCTCGCACGACCTACGTAAACCCTAAACCCCTAAGCCCCAAAACCCTAAACCCTAAACTCTAAGCCCCAAAACCCTGAACCCTAAACCTCTAAGCCCCAAAACCCTGAACCCTAAACCTCTAAGCCCCAAAACCCTGAACCCTAAACTCTAAGCCCCAAAACCGCGAACCCTAAACCTCTAAGCCCCAAAACCCTGAACCCTAAACGCTAAGCCCCAAAACCGCGAACTCTAAACCTCTAAGCCCCCAAAACCCTGAACCCTAAACTCTAAGCCCCAAAACCGCGAACTCTAAACCTCTAAGCCCCCAAAACCCCCAAACCCCAACACCCCTAAACCCCAAGAGGTCCTGGGGGCCAAGGATTCCGAAGGGAACCCAACCCTTCCCAATGACCGGCGCGTTCGGGCTTTTATGGTTTGGGGTTTAGGGGTTTAGGGTTTAGGGTTTAGGGTTTAGGGTTTAGGGTTTAGGGTTTAGGGTTTAGGGTTTAGGGTTTAAGGTGTAGGGTTGAGGGTGTAGGGTGTAGGGTTTAGGGTTTAGGCTTTAGGGGTTTAGGGCTTCAAGGGCTTTAGAGCTTCAGGGCCTTCGAGGTTTCGGGCTTGGGGGTCTACTGTAGGGGCCTTAGTAATTGGAATAGGGTTTTGGGGTATATGATACTATAATCATGATAAGGAACCACCAAAGTAGTATAGGTAATTTTTGAGGCCTCAAAAAACCCTAAACCCTAAACCCTAAACCGATTTTGAGAATTTAGGATTTCGGGCGGCTGTCGGAGGCTGCGGTGCACTCGAGCAGAGACCTGGTACGGGCTTTGGGCGGCTTTGGGGTTGAGCATTCCAATACTGGGTTCAGGGTTTAGGGTTTAGGGTTTAGGGTTTAGGGCCGTCTGAATGCGCACCGAAGCACTGCATCCGCGGTGATCGAGGCTTTGGGCAAATCCGCGAAGAGCTTCAAAGCCCGCTCCTGACGCCATGAAGGGCATCTACGAACATCCGAGGGTCTGAAGCCGTGGTTTTCAACTATCCTTCAGTCTTGGAGAGGTGTGGGCACCCATGGAATTTCACAAGCTGGTCAAGGTATAGGTTTCAAGTCTCTGCTTCAATTCTGGTGTAAACTTATGATGATTTCGCAGATTTGTTACCTACACGACCATGTTGCAAAAGCATGACTTCTGATGCATGTCAAAGCTCGAATCGTATTCCGGGCCGTGTATCTTTCCCTTATGCAACTTATGCAGGCCGTCGATACAATGCACTCGCGACCTGACGAGCTCGATTTTCATAGGGCATGATGCATGAGCTTGAGGATTTTTTAACCAAGGCATGTAAAGCTCAAAGACGCACTCTACACCCTATAAGTCCTAAACCCTATAAACCCTATAAACTTT